AATGCTAACTATTATCCAATATAAAATGCTGATATACTCTGTGTGTGTGTGTGTGTGTGTGTGTGTGTGTGTGTGTGTGTGTGTGTGTGTGTGTGTGTAGGTAGTCTCTTTGGGTTTATACTGTTAGTCAGAACATCTATGGACATGGAGGTGGAACCTCTGCAGTTCCAGCCTGGAAGCACACAGTTCTAGTAGAACTAGTAGAAGTACATTTTTGTAGTAACTGTAGGTGTTATTTTGTGGTGCCAATCATGGTTTTCTGTCAATTTTCTATAATACGCACACAGCTTGCTCAGAGCCTGGCTAGCTTTGCTGATACTAGAGTCAGTGTTTTTGTCCAAAGAGAAAGCTACACTTGAAAACACAGGGTAATTCATTATTTCCCATTGAAAAATGTCTACCTGTAGAAAATGTTGACTTCTATAGTTCTATCAATCCACAAAATCAGTGATGGGTGTTTGATTTTGATTTTTTGTTTCAAAGGCACTTTTCCTGAATATTTCCAAAAGGAAAGAAAAAAAGAATAATTCAGCCAGGGGCAGGAGCCAAAACATCACTAGAACCATCAGCAGCCAATATAGGCCCCTGTAGCGTATGACAGGAATGAACATATTACAGATTTGTTTGGCTCTGTTGTGCTGGTTTTTAATTGGCTCCCTGAGAGGTCGCAACTACAGCCAGATGAAAAGTAGCCCATTTAGAATTAAAGCCCAGAAGTTTGCTCCGAGTCCCAAAAATAACACTTTCATACAAAAATTCTCTCTGTACCTCATTAGCGTTCTCATTTTGTTCATAGTATTGTGATACAATTTACAATCCCAGCTGATCAACCAAGAGTCTCCAATTTATCTTCTTTCCATCCTTGATGCAAAAGGCATATGTAAGATATACTTGGTCATGAAAGTTAGGGGAACAAAGTTTTGGCATGTAGTTGTAGTTTGGGTGTTCCTGCAGTTTAACTAGAACTCTTCCATAAAGTTGTATTTGTCTATAGGTCACTGTTTTGAACCTTAGCCTCTTTAAGATATATAAACTTCATCTCCCAGCTTGCTGGCTAGAGAATTCTGTGAGCTGAAGTCCACACACCTTAAACAGCTACAGCTAATAAACACTGCTGCAGGTTACAGTGAGATCAGAAGTCTAGGATCATATTTTAAGAGATTAATCACTCCGATCTTCTTTATGATAACATCCTTTCCCTCACCACATAATCAACCTACACTTTTCTCAGATCTTGAAGTGTGAAGGGCTTTTTCAACGTTCAAATTCAAAGAACAAAAGAGGGGGGGGAATAATTAAGAGAGGAAAAACCTCAGGGTGGGGTATTTAAACTCATATGTTTTGTTGTTGTTGATTTTAGCATATATGTTTTTTTAAGTGGTTTGAACTTTACAAATACTGGTTCAAAATTATTTAATGTATTTGTTTAAGATATATGTATACCTGACACAAATCGTAGTATTTGTATACAAATATACATTCTATACATTGTATACATTAATAATTGTATTGAAATTATTGCATAATTAATAGAGTTTAAAAATATATTATTGTATCCAACAATAATTGATATTATTTATAACTGAATGGAAATGGAGAATAGGTATTCTTTCATTTAACAACAACACTTTAAATATAAAAAATTCTAGGTAGAGTTACACTGGAAGAAATATTACTTGGAAAAGATATGAACCTAGGATACAGGAACAAGAAGAGGCAGCACGTGCTGATGTTTTCTCAAGTCAAAACTAGTCCGGGTTTGGGAAAGCTAGCACATTGTAGATGTCTTACTTTAGAGCCCTTCAAATAAATGTTGATTTCTTTTGAAGTACTGCTTAAACTCTAACTATGCTACTTTAAAATTAGCTTCATGTATTGCCAGAAAGTAGTTAGTTTCAGCAACAACACAGTCACTGTAATTTACAAACCATGGCTTAGGGCTCAGCATACTGTGCATACAGTCAGGTGTGGTTTATCTGAAATTTAGCAAAATCTGTGTAGTACTTGCTGAGAGTTGACCACCAGTCAAACTGTACTGTTTCTGACCAACAGATCAACAGAGATGTCAAAACTAGTCAGTGCTCAGAGAGTTCAGTTATTGTCCAGTGACTGAAATCAAAGCAAAACCATCTGCTTTTGTTGCAGTGGTTTTTGTTTGCCAAGGAGAATTCCCAGTCTATTTAAAGGATGCTCTGAACTGATATGATGATACATGCAGATTGATGGCACCAAGAATATGGGGTTGTGGTGAAGCCTTTAAATGGGAGTGCCTCCAAATATAATTAATACATTAATAGAAGAGAATAATTCTAGTTCAGGGTTGAATTGCAGGGTGCTTAGTACTCTCTGAACTGTTTTCTTGCAGAAATTTCATTACCAAGCTAGGTAACATCATCAGTGCTAGTCAGAAGTGGTGTTGCTCTCATTTTATATCCTAGTTGCTAGTCCTGTCAGGTG